TATCAGCTAACCATTTCCTTTAAGTTGTAAGGGTAGAACCAAGGTGCCCCTATAGCATTTAACGGTCTGAAGTCGTTTTTCTGGCCTTATATTCCCGGTACGGCGGTACGGGTTGGAGTGTAAGCCGCTTGAAGGGTTGGCCATTGGTTTTCATGTTTTGCTGAAGCCGAGACTCAACTTTTTTGGGATTTTAAGGTTTAGGCAACCCAAATCGCACACCCTCTATGCGAAATCCCACGGCGAAACGGGTGTTTGCTAGAATGCCCATCTTCGATGAGCAGCCCTCACATGAGTTTCCTAAAAAAAACTCTTCACCCTAAAACCCCTAAACCTTAAACCCTTAAAAACCCTAAACCCGCAACGAGATGCTCATAGACTGCTATCAGCCGAAATCCTTGACCCTTAACGGCTTTAGGGTTTGGGGTTTAGGGGTTTAGGGTTTAGGGTTCAGGGGTTTAGGAGTGTAGGGTTTGAGGCTCAGAAGGCACTTACCCTAAGGGTCCATGTGCCCAAACAGTATATAGTTTGGCCCCAAAGTACCTATACAGGGACTGCTTTAAGGCCAACTATACACTTTTGGGTGCATGGTCCCTTATACCCTAAACCCTTATAGAACCCTTATGGATCCCTTGAAGGAACCCTTATATAGATCCCTTAAAGGACCCTTGCTATTTGCGTACATGGACCCTTACGCTCACAAGACCTGGTGTTCAACTGGCAGTCCCCTTTTTTTGGGCTGGGCAAAAGCCGAAAGCATTCCGCACCTCTGGGTTCACCCAGATTTTCCAGGGCCCGCTTCTTTGAATCAACACTCTGCTTTTTTGGATTTAGGGTTTAGGGTTTTCTGCTTAAGGAACGTAATCGCTTCCAGCTTTTATTAAACACCCCCCTAATACTGAAACATATTGGGGCGAATCCTCCCGAAACCACCCCTGTCCTTTGAAGCCTAATTTGCATTGGGGGTCCGGAGCAAGAGCAGGAGCAAGAGCAAAGGCAAGAGCAAGAGCAGGAGTAAGAGCACAACCAAGAGCAAGAGCAAACGCACGAGGAAGAGCAGGAGCAAGAGCAGGCGCAGGAGCGAGAGCAAGAGATGCAGCAGGAGCAGGAGTACAAGCCTGCAGGAGCAAGAGCAACAGCCCTCAAAAGACCCAAAGAGACAGTAGAAATAAAAATACGCCCTAAGAAAAGAAACACGTTCCGAGTTTCTATTGGGGGCGGGGGGGGGGCGCGAAAGGAGTACTTTCAGCTACATGGTAGGGAAACCAGACTATTTGCTAGAGATCGGGGTTCACCCTTCTCCCTAGGCTCACAGTATCGGTCTTGCTCTAATGATCGGAGCTTTCATAAGTGTTTGGGTTTAGGGTTTAGGGTTTAGGGTTCAGGGTTTAGGGTTTAGGGTTTAGGGCTTAGGGTTCAGGGTTTAGGGTTTAGGGTTGTTCCTGGTCCAGTTCAAGGTCCCACCGGAAGATCTTGGCAAGCACGGAGGCGTACTTTCGGCAACGAGATACGGCAATCCTGGTCTCTGCTCAGCGTGTAGATCCAAGTCTTACACCCCTAAACAAACTCAAAGCATTGAAACCATATCCTGAACCCTAAACCCCACTCCCTAACCCCCAAACCCTGTAGCGTTTTATGAAAGCCTATAAACCCAGAACCCTGTTGGGGTTTTGGGATCTCTCCCGTCGCCGCACAGGGGCTCAACGTGCCAAGTTTCCAAAGTCACTGCTCTTGACGAACGGTATTAAACGGCCCACGAAAGGTTGTGGATTGAGGGTTCTGGGGTTTTGAGATTTGGGGAACGGTCGCGTACAAGGTTGAACAGGGCTTGACTAGGATTTAAGCGCCTTCGTTTTTGGCTATGAAAATGTTAGGGGTTAAGGTTTGGGACGCAGCACAAGGGTTGGTTGGGGACCTACAAAACCAAAAACCTGTGTCGTGTCCAACAGCTGTCTAAGTCACCTAAAGTTCCCCTAAACCCTAAGCCCTAAACCCTGAACCCACGATTCAGGTTTAAGGGCCAATGCTCAGGTATATGTGTGGACTTTGAGTGTGTGTGTGTGTGTATATATATACACACACATAACATTCCTTATCTATGTCTATCATGTCCATATCCATAGCCATATTCATAGCTAAAGGGTTGTCGTCAAAATAATGGTCCCTTTTTGGGTCCCGATTATAGTACGGCACCTATTATTTAGGGTACCCCAAAAAGGACTATAATTTTGACGACCACCAATACCCCTAATAAAGTATCCTAAATAGTAGGCTCCTTATTGTAAGGGCCCCCAAATAAGGTACCCCGAATTTTCGGAAACTCCCATATTCATAGCGGTTTCCATCTCTTCGACCTGAGGTTCCGGGTTCAGGTTCTAACTAGGTACAGTAAACCCCCACAAGTTGGAAACCGGGTTAAGGCCAAGCATTGAGGCCATGGGGTTTCCAACTTTTGGGCTTCCATTGTACAACTAAAACAGTTGTAAGTTTGTGAAACTCCAACCCCGAACCCTGGCCAATGGGATATTATGACACATCTTGAGAAGTGGGTTCGTGCAGGTAGGCAGATGCTAAACCCAAAGCGTCCAAGTATCATTATGGTATATACATGTATATACTCCATAGACCCCCAAAATACCCTATAAGTATATACCATGATGATACTTGGACCCTTTGGGAAAAGTCGCTCTAGCAGTCTCAAGGCGCTGCAGGCAACGCGAGCCTAAATCCTGGGCACTGCCCGTTGACGTTAGCCTTTTGAAGGTTTCCTCTAGCTTTGGCTAACACAAGGGCCGAATTATTACCAAGTCTGACAAGAGTATACCCGAAACCATATACTCACTATCCTGGAGTTTGGGTGCCTCCGACCTAATTACGGTGGCCTCCATCGTAGGCCTCGCATAGACTTGTTGCCTAAAGTTCCTGTCGGGCTGCTGCGGCCCCGGCATTTTTCTCCGACGCCTTTTATTGGATTTTCTGGCGCAGATGCACCCCCCTGTCCCTTTCCAATGGCTGGCCCCACTGTGACGAGCCAGATGTCATTTCCCCACCCCGGTTTGGGTGACGACCCTGCGGATGCGGATTTAAATATGAGCCCGAATCCCTTTAAACCCTAAGTGTCACACAAGTGAGTTTATGGCTTGCAAACTTTGCTGTTCAGCTCCTTTGTTTTGCTTGGCTACATGTCACAAGCATGAATCTGTTTAGCACGGCGAATTTGGGGTTAAGGTTTAGGGTTATGGCTCTGTGTGCAGCACCGATGCGATTTCTGGCCTTTGAGCTTGAAAACCCTCAGTTTCGGACATGACGGCTTGCTGGAAAAGGAAGAACAAAATCAGTTGTCTGCGTCCTAAACCCTAAACCCCAAACCCTAAACCCTAACACCGAAGCCCGAAACCCTAAACCCTAAAACCCGAAATCCTAAAACTGAAACCCTAAACCCTTGACCGGAAGCTCCGGTGGGCTTGCTTTCAGGGTTCAGGGTCCTACTTGTCGGGTATCACGGAGAACTATATAAAGGTTAACCTTTTTGGTTATATAGGGATTGTATAGGGGCTATACTATCCAAAAAAGGTTAAAGGTTGCCTACTCTACTACTAGGGGGTTCTAGGGTATAGGGCTCCTCTGGAAGAAACTGACTGAGCACGTGGATGCCTCAGCTGAAACTCCCTAAACCCTAAAGCCTAAACCACAATCAATAGGCCAATACGCTTAGTTGCATGGGCTGACCCTAAGGCTCCATGTAGCCATATAGTACATACTTAGGCCTTAAAGTACCTATATAGGTACTACTTTGGGGCTTAAGTATCTACTATAAAGGTACATGGAGCCTTTGGGTCTGCCTTTGTCAAAACCAAGCGTGCTTTGACTGCGTTGGGGGGCCTGCTGGGTTGGGTTTAAGGTTGTTTACCTTAAGCCTGAACAACCTAATTACCTTTTAGGGTTCCTTCTTATGATTTCCTTACATACGTGCTTAAAAAGGTAGGTTACTATCCGTGTTAAGGTAGTTTAAGGTTTTCGGTTTAGGGTTTCTGTTCTGCAGAGCGCCGCAGCACAAGGTAGCATGTGTACGATTTCAATACAATTTGTTATAGGCTCGTTCTTGCATCGCAGAACCAACTGTCGGATCCGCATGTAGGTGTTCAACCATTTCTCCCTTTCCTACCGCGAAGGGTCTTTACTTTGCAATACAACCCTTTTCCAATAAGGTCTATTGTCAAACTGTCATGGGTTTTAGGGTCCAGGATGGTTTAGGCGCAGGGTTCAAGGCTTTGGGGTATGATGTTTTAGGGTCTCAAGCATAAGGTTTGAGGCGTATACCGTACAGTGTATAGTGCTTTGGTGAAGCAGTAGCGGAACTCCTCAGTTCAGACAGTCCCGTGACTTGAGCCCATTGTTGTAGTGCAGTGACTTTGGAAACTTAACAGCTCATGTGTCGAAGGTGAAACTGCAAAAGAATGATTCAACGCGATTCGTCGATGACCGGTGCTATGTGGACCAAGGACCTTGCAGGTTTAGGGTTTAGGGCCATGGCCAGCTAGAGATTGCATAAGATACAGGGTCACTTGGCCGCGAAACTTGCTGCCTCCTCACGGATTCACCGGTGTGGCAGTCTAGCAGTTATACTCCCCAGAGACTCAAAATGCCATCACAGTTTGGAGAAATATTCCTGTGACCCTACATCCTACCTCGACCCCCCAACTACCCTCCATTATTCCCCGAACACCAACTATTACTACCATAAGGGCTCTGTGAAAGGGCCCTTGGGGTGTTCTGGTAAATCCTGTCAAGAAGGACGTTCGACTCTACTACCCTAAACCCTAAACCCCAAAACCCTAAACCCTAAACCCCAAAACCCCAAAACCCTAAATCCCAAAATCCCAAAACCCTAAACCCTAAATCCCGAAACCCCTAAACCCTAAATGCCTGCCCTACTAGGAGAAGGACGATTCGAGTCTCTGTCTGGGATTCGAACAAATTCGGGGCGGATGCAGGTCCCAAGGTCAGGCTGTTGGGCTTTGCTTCGGTCGGGCCGGACCTCTCTCAACCGGGTTTTGCTTTGGCTTTGGGGCGTAGAGCTTAGGGTTTAGGATCTATAGGGTTTAAGGTTCAGGGTTTAGGGCGCTTTGGCTTTAGGGCTCAGGGCATAGCACCCTAAACAAAAAAAGACGACTCGGAGCTCAAGAGTGTGTGGAAGTTTCGGGTTCTGCAGATTCCGGGCTTCAGGAATCAACGCTGAAGGTCTCGAGTCTTGGGTTCAAGGTTCTAACATGTTTTCAAACCTACGCCCAGCCCTAAACTCGAAAATCCTAGACCCTATACACCCTTAACCGGCTCTAGTGACTGAATCCGGCTGCTTTGGGGATGCTCTGTCGAGGGTTTAGGGTTGAGGGGTTTACGGGTTAAGGGGTTTGGGGTCAGGTTAGGGGTTGAGGAGTTTAGGGGTTTAGGCGTCTAAGGTTCAGGGTTTACGGATGCAGGGTTCAGGAGGTGACCGGTCTACGTCTTGGGTGAAGGGACCCTACACCTCAAGCAACCACGTAGATCCCAGCCCCTAAACCTCCCCCCAAGGGTCCAAGTACCTAATAATCATACATTCTCCCAAATTGTAGCCTACATAACTACTATCCGAAACCTAAGTACCTTATTATTGGGTGCTTTGGACCCCTAAACCTCCCCCTAAACCCTAAAACGTCTCCCTAAACAGAACCATATTCCCCAGATCTGGCAAGACTATAGTAGAAGCCAGAAAGTTGGAACATCAGACTCCTCATGCCCTTTAAGGTAAAGTATAAGGGATCCTAGCACTAATCCTCCTTTCCATGTTCCAACTTTCTGGCTTCTACTGTACATGAGGTAGGTAAAAGGAAGGAGCCACGGCATCAAACAGACTCGCGAAACTGAGACTACCCAACAGGTCCCAACTCTCCCAAAAATTCCATGCACCTTTCTAGTTCAGCCTTAAAGGAGTCCCTATATAGGTACTTAAAAGCCTAAGTATCTACTATATGGGCACATGGCGCCTTATAGCTATAGGGAGGGAACCTCAAAACTTCGGGTTTCTGCGAGGCTACAGAGACCCAAGGACTCACGCCTGGACTCTTAAGGTACGCAACTTTCGAGTAAACCCGCAAAGCCAAGAACTTCTGAAGCAAAACCCCGGGGCATGGCACTACTAACCCGGAACCCGACCATCCCCCGAATCTAGATCCTACGCCCTACTCTACAAATCTCCTGAAGCCCAAAACCCTAAACCCGAAGCCCTAAACCCCAAACCCTAAAACCGCCTAAACCCTGAGCCCTGAACCTTAAACCAAAGCCAGCCAAGGCACTCGTTGGACTCGACTTGCCCTCCGTGACGCGGGTTGGACTCCCCTTTGGAGTTCCCGCAGGACTGCCCCTGAGCTACGTTTTGGGGTGCTGGAGTTCAGGGCTTTAGGGTTCAGGGTTCAGTGCTTCGGGTTCAGGGCTTAGAGTTCAGGGATTCGGGCATAATATGTTGTTAGAGGTTGATGGGTTATCAATTCTTACCCTATGGTTCGGGGTGAGCGGTTCAGGGATTCACGTCGTGAGGGGGTGTAACGCAGCAACCACCCGTTTCGATACTCCGGTTGCAACTAGACACATAGTAAGAACCCTGTTGAACTCTTTGTCCTATAGAGTCTATATGAGTAGTTGTCAAAATTATGGTCCCTTTTTGGGTACCCTAAATATTAGGTGCCGTACTATAATGAGGACCCAAAGAGGGACCATAATTTTGACAACTACCCATATCGAGAAGTGCTGGTGTCTTCGGCCGCTTGTATGACAGAGTCGGAAGTTCTGTGAAACCTGCAGGTGCTTTTTTGTCGGTCCATTTGACTGAGAAGATTGAAAAATACTGTTTAGGGCTCAATATTTTACCCTAAAACCCTAAACCCTTAACCCCTAAATCCTAAACGCTAAACCCCATGGCCCATTGCCCTAAACCCTACAAACTCTCAGGACGATGGCCCACCCTGAAACCTTACCCATAGGCCCCATAGTAGTTCCTTTTTTGGGGATTACCTTATACAAATTCTACATATGGGTGGTTATCAAAATTAGGTCCCTAATTGGGTAGTATAATAAGGACCCAAAAGGGACCCTAATCTTGACAACCACCCATATGAACCCCAAAACCCCAGCAGTTTTTTTCAACTCCGGCCTGAAAAAAGAGCTCGTGTCGCCGCTCTCGATGCCTTCCTTGCTGGGATGCCTGCATCGGACACACGAATCTAGGGGCCTTAGTAATCAGAATAGGGAGCCTCTAAAGGGGTCTATAAGGCTTACTATAAGGTCTAGAAGGGTACTATGATACAGGGGCCTTAATAGTCAGAACAGAGATTTGGGGTATATTAACTATAGTTACAATAAGGACCCCCCCAAAAAATAGTACAGATAATTATTGTAGGCCCCTATAGTATGCACACGAAGGGGGCGCGGGCTTTTAGAGCTACGGGTTTGCCGGGATTCGACATCTCCCTAGCTAAGCAATCCTTACGGAGGAAGCTTCGCGTGAGGTATACTCCACCCTAAGGGTCCATGTACCCAAGTAAATACTTTGGCCCTTAATGTACCTATTTTGGGACTGCAGTACTTGAAGACCAGAGTTTATAGTATTCGGGTACATGGACCCCTAAACCCTAAACACCTAAACCCTTAGGGTAAATCAATGGAAGTCTGTAGGTTGCACGGACAACTATAGTACCATAGCGCTAAGGGTCCAAGTACCCAAATAGTAGGGTTTCAAGGTCCAAAAACCATTCAGGGTATGGATTTTGGGGATCAGCAAAGGGCTTTGCGACATATCCTACGAAAACCTTACAAAACCTATGTAAACCCTAAGCCTTCATCCCGAAAACCCAAACCCTAAACTCTAAACCCTAGACCCTGAACCCTAATCCCCCAACCCGAAAACCCAAACCTTAAACCCGAACGCCCAAATTCTGGGAGCCGTAGGGCATGAATTTAAACCCCTACACCCTAAACCCCAAATCCCCGAACCCTACCAGGACCCCCCGAAGTACCCTTGCATCAAGCACTTGCGGCCCGTCATAGTGGGTATTTAGGGTAATTATATCAGAGGGTAGTTTTGGGGGGTGCTGGTACACCCTAATCCCTAAACCTCACAGGGGAATTCCTTTTACTGATACCCCAAACCCTTATACCCTAAATCACCAATCCCTAAACACTAACCCCTAAACCCTACAAGAATAGATCCCTAAACCCCTTGTAAACCCCCCCAAAACAACAGGATCACCGGGGTAAATCACCAATCCCTAAAGCCTAACCCCTAAACCCTACAACAATAAACCCCTTATAAACCACCAAAAAACAGGATCACCTCTAAACCCTAAACCACTAAACCCTAAACCCCTAAACCCTAAACCCTAAACCCCTAAACCCTAAACCGGGGCCTCCATGTAGGCAGCACCCTCGCCGGGCTTCCCGCGCCGGGGTTGTTGAAGCAGCCTGTGGCCTCGGCTCCGCCCGGTTTTAGGAGGTTTAGGGGTTTAGGGGGTTTTAGGGGGTTTAGGGGGTTTAGGGGTTTAGGGGGTTTAGGGGGTTTAGGGGGTTTAGGGGTTTAGGGGGTTTAGGGGGTTTAGGGGTTTAGGGGGTTTAGGGGTTTAGGGGGTTTAGGGGGTTTAGGGGTTTAGGGTTTAGGGGTTTAGCGGTTTAGGGTTTAGTGTTTCGGGGTTTAGGGTTTAGTGTTTAGGGTTCATATACGTGCCCTTCCCTGAGGGCCCAGGTACCTACGAGGACTCTCCAAATGGCCATTAAATAAAGCCTTTATGGGCCTTAGCAATGGGTATTTAGGGTCTATTGGAGGGTAGTCTGGCCGGGGGTCTAAGTAGCAATCATATAGTCGCCGAAACCCTAACCATTAACCCTAAACCCCAACTATCCTAAACCCCCATACCTACTCATGTGGTCCTTGGGCCCTTCATCTAAGGGCCTTTTCAGTAGTATTCACTTCGAGTTTAGGAGTAGGGTTTAGGGTTTAGGATTCAATATGATTAGCGTTAATGCGGAAACCCTAAACCCTAAAACCCCAAACGCCCAAAACAACAAGGGGAAAAGGGTGCTTGTTGGAGGGTCGGGGGTCTTAATGAGTAGGTCATAAGTTGAGCTTTAAGCACCCTAGAAGGGATCCTAATTCAAGCTATGGTACTTATGACTCTATGAAAACCCTACTTCGTAAGTCCCCCCAACCTCCAAGTACCCTGAATTCATAAGCCCCGAATTCTCCCCGAAAATCCTAATCACCAGAAGCCAACAAGGTGAAAAGTGTATTACTGACGACCCTAAACCCAACCCTAAGCCATAAGCTCTCAACCCAAAACTGATAGAAGGCCAAAAGGGGGGTTTAAGATTCTTGGGGTAGGGATTCCTTAACAGGAACCCTACTATGGGAACCCTAATCCCTACTAACCCCCCCTAGGCTAAAACCCCTTTTGGCCTCCTATGAGAAACGAGTACTGCCGGACCCAAAGGGCCATCCGACTCCTCCGCCGGGGCTTGTAGGCGGTAGGGGACTCCTCCCCCTTCCGAGGCTCTGATGCAGAGGTTCCTGGGTTACGGCGTGTGGATTTCGGGGTTTAGGGTTTAGGGATTTTGGGTTCGGGGATTGAAGGGTTTAAGGTTCAGGGTTGAGGGATTTAGGGTTGAGGGATTAAGGTGAGACGGGCTTAGGTTCACTTCTCCAATATCCTAAAGGAACTAAACCACAATGTTTGGGAGTGTATAGGGACTATGGTAGCCCCCCCCCCCCCTCCATGTACCCCAACACGGCCGAAAGGATATCTACTCCACTACCAAGGTTCCCTGCTTCTCAGTGACACTGACCCTTCGGCGCTTCTCGAAGATGTTCTCGCCCATGGCCTGGGTGCTTCACTGTGTGAGCTTAATTGGGGATCCAGCATAGTAGGAAGCATACCTCAAACCCTAGACCCTAAACCCCTTAACCCCAACACCTAAATCCTAAACCCTGAACCCCAAAACCTAGATCCCAAACCCTAAACCCTAAAACCCCTAGACCCCAAAACCTACAGACCCTAAACCCCTTTGAGCGTCCCAGGTCCTGGATCAACGACGGTCGGGAAGGACGAAGCTGCGTTTGCCTGGGTTCTTTTTGTAAATCCCATAGAGTTGGAAACCGGAGTAAGGCCAAATCGTGCTGGGATAACCTATACATTACTCTTAAGGATTGAGGCTATTGGGTTTCCAACTTTTGGGCTTCCACTGTAATCCCCAAACCCCTAAACTCTAATCCCTAAAGCCTCAGACCCTAAACCCTAAGACCCGAAGACCCTAAAAAGGCGTCATGGGCTTTCTGGGGAAGGGGTTTGGGCCTTGGGTGGCGAAGGTTTGGGATCTCACTACGAGGGTCCGGGAGTGGATGTCCTTTAAGCTACCGCAGCAAGGAAACCATACAGTAACTTAAATTCTCTAGGTCTCCAAGTACACAAATTGTACCTACTTTGGGGTCTAATTCTCTATAAGTAGTACCTATTTTGGGCTATTTTCAGCCCCACGCATTTGAATCCCTTAACTAAAGTAACTTAAATCTACATATTAATTTAACTTAGCTAGTAATAAAAGTTTTGAATTCAATCAAACAAAACAAGTTCCTTAAAACCATAAACCCTAAACCCTACCTAAACCCTAAACCCTAAACCCTAGACCCTAAACCCTAAACCCTAAACCCTAAACCCTTAACCCTAAACCCTAAACCGTAACAAGAGCCCAGTTGCGGAAGCCCTGGCTCTGCTGAGCTGGGCATAAGCAGAGACGCCTTCTCCTGGAGCGCCTTTTCGATCCTCGGGGCTTCTGAAGGAACTGGTGAGCTTAAGGTTTAGGGTTTAGGGTTTGGGGTTTAGGGGTTTAGGGTTTAGACTATACCCTACGGGTCCAAAGCACCCAATAATAAGGTACTTAGGTTTCGGATAGTAGTTATGTAGGTTACTATGTGGGAGAATATATGATTATTAGGTACTTGGACCCTTGGGGTGAAGGAACTGATGAGCTTAAGCTTAGGGCTTAGGGTTTTTTTTGGGGGGGGGGTTTAGGGTTTTAGGGGTTTCAGGGGTTTAGGGGTTTGGGGGTTTAGGGTTTTAGGGGTTTAGGCTTTAAGTTTTTTTTTTTAGGGCCTTTAGGGTTTAGGGCTTAGGGCTTTAGGGATTTAGGGGTTAAGGGTTTTGGGGTTTAGGGTTTATAGGGAGTGAAGGAACTTGTGGCTTATGCTTAGGGTTCAGGGTTTAGGGGTTTAGGGTTTAGGGTTTAGGGTTGATAAGGAACTTAATTCTAGCTTAAGTTACCCGAACATAATCATACCTTACTATGGAAACATCAAAAATGATCCTGAAACAAATAAGCCGAGAATCGCAGCCCTCGACCCCTTCAAGGCGGCTTCTGTGGCGTTCAGGACGTAGCTTTCCAACTTGTCCATCGCAGCCTTGATGGCATCCTGCAGTTTATTCTGTTCTTTTGTGCACGTGTACATATATGTATGTGTGAATATGTATATATATATATATATATATATATATATATACATATAGTTATATTTATAAAAATATAAGTGAATAATGCATAGTTATCATCATAAGGAAACACACGTAGACATGCACGTGTTTACTGATATATATATATATATATATATATATATATATATATATATATATATATATATATATACATACACATAGATGTGTGACTATATATATACATATATATATATATATAGATTACATCCCTGTGTGTATCTGCAGGTGTATGTGGAGGTGTCCAGAAAACAGTGGTACCTTATAAGGATCGTGATCTTCAGCCTTCTAATTAAAGCTTCCCGATCTACTTAACCTCCCATGTGTCAAGCAGAGGCCTAGGCCCTAGGCCCGTCTGGCCCCAGACACGAAAAAGCTTGAGCAAGTCCTTCAATAAGGCTCACCACTGAGAAAAGTAGTCTAGAAGCCTTCATCATCAGCACAGGGTTTTGGGACATATTACCGCACAACTGTTGAGAAATTCTTGGCATTTATGCAGGCTTCTGTGGTATGATGTTTGGGCATCAAAACCCTTCCGATGTCAGTCACCAGAGCTTTCCAGGACCCTGCAACCGCCAAGCAAACACGATTGTACGAGACGGGTAGGATCTAAGGAGCGAGAGGTCATATCACTCAGAAACAAGCGTTTGGAGTTGAGGGTTCAGGGGACCAGAGGCCGTCTCACTCAAAAGATGGGTCATGTAGGGTCTTCGGCTATTCTTGGCCATGCAGGCAGAATTGGAGCCAGGGGGTTTGGGGTTTCATTACTAGTAACCTCGGTATAGTAAAATCGTAAGTATAGCATCCTAAACAATCTCTTTGCTTGCCTCCGCCAAAGGTTGCAAGCTGGTGGGTCGCGTGGAATGCGGCTGCTCCACGATATCGTCTGCCTGTGGGTGAGCCCTAGATGGTACGGTTTTTGGGTTAAACCCTAAACCCTAAGCCGGGTTTTACACTTTCTAGACTTCTCCTGCACATCCAAATCCCGAAACCCACGAGAGTCAAATCTGCACTCTCAAGCTCCTGAGCCTAAACTTACCTTGGGTTAGAAGGGAATGGAGGAATGGGGTTACTACTACTACTACTACCACTACTACTACTACTACTACTACTACTACTACTACTACTACTACTACTACTACTACTACTACTACTACTACTACTACTACTACTACTACTACTACTACTACTACGACGACTAACAACAACAACTACTACTACTACAACTACTACTACTACTACTACTACTACTACTACTACTACTACTACTACTGCTACTACTACTACTACTGCTACTACTACTACTACTACTACTACTACTACTACTACTACTACTACTACTACTACTACTACTACTACTACTAATACTACTACTACTGCTACTACTACTGCTACCACCATTCTTCCATTCCCTACTAACCAAAGGTAAGTAAACAGCTCCTAAACCCCAAACCCAGAAACCCTACAACCAGAGCCGCATTTTTTAGTGCGATAGGCTCCGTGTCTCTGAACCTGACAATCTCGATCCCTGCACGGCGTGTAAAGCCTAGACTGCACTTGGAGGGTCGGGGGACTTAGTAACTGGTTCTTTTAGGGAGTTAATAACTACCATAACCCCAATTAGGGTCCCTTTTAGGGTATTTATAAGTCTATTTACTAACTAAGTACTACGTCCCCCGACCCCCCAAGCAATCAACCAAACCTTGTGTCCCTACAGTTGAGTTTTCCGTCAACTCCTGAACCACAAACCCTTCCCCCCACTCAAATAATGTAGACATTGGCCAAACAAATCTATATAGGGAACCTTTTAAGGCCAAAGTATGTATTGGTTGGGTCTTTGGACCCTTCGGGTAGCAAAGTAGGTACTGCGGCCCCCGGAGCCTAAACCCTCCTCTAAAATCGGCGTCGCGCCCTAGTTCAGCCGATGCAACCCTGAAAGAGCCCTTAACCATTCGCTACCTGCAACCTCTAGAGATATGACCTAATTACAGCCCCATAGCCCTAGATCTATAAGCTCTATGGGTACTTATGCCAGCCTTATGCCATGAGCCTTAAAGCTTATGCAACCTTTAAGGACCCTACACCCTGAACCCTAAACCCTGATCCCTGACCCCTAAACCCTGATCCCTGACCCGTAAACCCTAAACACTGAACCCTAAACCCTGAAATAAGTAAACCCTAACCCCCCCCCCACCCCCCCAAGAAAGAGACACCTCCGACAGAGGCAGAAGCGGAGATGAGGGCATTTTCTCGAGCTCGGTCGTCTCTGCCGGCTTGAGCCTCCAAAGGGCTCCCCCTTTCGGGTTTAGGGTAAACCCTAAACCCTAAATACCCCCAACCCTACCCTAAGCCCTAAACCCTAAACCCTAAACTCTACCTCTGGACCCCGAAAGTATGTAGAATAATGGCCTTTTGCAGGGTTTTGGCCATTATCCTATAGACCATAGCCCTGTTTGTTGTTTCTTGGCATGGGCCCTTTTCCCAAGGGTCCTAACCTACATAACTATACACCGAGTAAACCTAATTATTGGGTCCTTTCGACCCTGAACCCTAAACCCTTGGACTCTTGGGCTTTTCCAACTACAGAGTGCAAAAGACATTCTCAGCCACGGGAAGCCTATGATCGCGGCCGCAACTTCAAACTGCAATTATCGCAATACCATACCCCTGGGTTCAGAGTTTAGGGTTTGGGTGGGTATGGACCCTATCTTGGTGCAGGGTTCAGAGGGTTAGGGCTTAGAGTTCAGGCGTAAAGACTATAGAGACACCAAAAACTTGGAAACCTGATGGAGGACAAATAGTGCTGGGATTCCCAAAGCAGTAAAACAGTACTCAAAAGGATTGAGGCTATCGGGTTTCCAACTTTTGGGCTTCTACTATAGAGAGCTTTACTTGGAGGGTCGGGGACTTACTAAGTAGCTATTTTACAGAATTATAGGTACCATAACCACAATTAGGATCCCTTTTAGGGTACTTATAATTCTACTAAAGTCCATAGAGACCCGAAAGCAGAGTGCGGAGGGCTGGTGGAGAGTGTAGGGCCTCAGCGTATTTCGGATCCTCGGATTTGGGGGAAGGGGTAGACCCCAGAAAGGTCCAATGTACCGATATAGTAGAATGTAGGGTTTTCATATTAGGAAGTACTATTATACCTTAGGGAAGTATCCCCCATAACTGTACATAGGACCCTTTGGGGACGAACCTTATATTATGAGGGTTTGGCGGTTTAGTGCTTAGGGGTTCAGGGCTTTCGGGGTTTAAGCCCTGGGGGCTTGGGGTTTCGGGTTTACAAAGCCCTCATTGTCATGCTTGGAATAAGGTCTGCAATGCAGCATTACCAAGACGTAGAACCGGTCTGCTACTCCCGACACCCTCATCCTCAATCGGGGGCCTTAGGCGAGCCACAAACCCTGAGCCCTTTAAGGCACAGCTTAAACGAGCCTTCCTCAACCCTAAACTAAACCCTAATATAGGGGCCTTAACAATTAGGATGAGGTTTCGGGCTCAGTATGCTTTACTTACTATGAGGAACCCCCAAAACAGTATTAGCACTTGGTCCCTATCCTTGAAAGTCCAAGTACCCGATAGTCATATACTCTCAAAAACAGTAACGTACATAGCTACTATCCTAAAACCGAGTACCTAATTATTGGCTCCTTTACCCTAAACCCCAAAACCCTAACCCTAAACCCTGACCCTAAACCCTAAACCCTAAACCCCAACCCTAAAACCCAAAATCCTAAACCCCAAACCCCCTATTAGTAAGCCCCACATCTGCCCAGGAGCCCTTCCGCCGCGGCGATGTGAGGCATGTCAAAGGCTTGACCGGGAGACGTCTCCATGAGCATTGCCATGATCGCCTGGGTTTAACGGCTAGGATACCCAGTAACCTAAGAATAAAAAGGCCTCTCTTTTTGGTATTGGGTAACTTTATAAGGAACCTAGGACTACAAAAAGGGACTAAGGGTACTACTAAGCATCCTAGGGGTTTACGGGCTTTCGGGCCTTTAGGCGCTTCAGGGCAATTTTGGGGGGGTGTTTGGGCTTAGTGGGTTTAGGGTTTAGGGGCACTTTGGGGGCTGTAGGGGGTTTGGGCTTAGTGGGTTTAGGGTTTAGGGTTTAGGGGCCCTTTGGGGGCTGTAGGGGGTTTGAGCTTTGTGGGTTTAGGGTTAAGGGCCGCAAGAGTTAAGGGTTTAGGGCTTGTACAGGGGGCTTTTTTTGGGGCTCATGGCTTTTCGGACCCTAAACCCTGGACCCGAAGCCCTTTCAACCCCAAGCCTCAACCCAAAGCCCAAAACTTGTGAACCCCAACCCTAAACCCCAATCACTAAAACCATGAAACCCCAAAACGTCTATGTAGCAGACAGCACATAAGCCTTGGCTTTTTGGTGGGATATCAAAAACCCTTGAAGCCCTATGAAGCCTTGCAAACTGCGATGAAGATCCCAGACAAACGCTGCAACACTATGAAACTCTTTGATTGTGGTGCTGCGCCCACAAAACATCAAACCCAATGATGTGATATCGCTACGACCTCCACCTAGAACCCCATCAACACCATCACAGGGCTGAAACTGCCCAATGACACGCTCTGAAACTCTACACCCTAAACCCTAAACCGTAAACCCTAAAACCCTTAACGCGATAAACCCCTAAACTCCAAAACCCTATGAACCCCAAAACTCCAAAACTCTAAACCCCCAGACCCCTACACTGTAAACCCCTAAACACCTGAAGGAACCCTTATAGATCCCTTTAACGGAACCCTAAACCCTACACCCTACGCCCGATTTCCTCTTTTCTACAACTGGGCTGTAGTTTTGGGGCTCTGAAACGTATTTATGAATTGGTACCTTTACAAGAACCAGAAGGGAAATGAACAAGTTTCCCAAACTGCCACCTAGACAAAGTCCGGGTCGCTTCGACACGGTTGTCGAGGACTTCGAAGCACCGCCGTGAGAGGCCGTAGAGCTCCTCGGGGCTTTTAAATTACCTTAAAAGGGATCTCTAGGGCTCCTTCAAAGGGATCTATAAGGCTCCTTTAACGGGATCTACAATGTTCCTTTAAAGGGATCTATAGGGGTTTAGGGTTCCTTTAAAGGGATCTTTCCTTTGGTTAGTAGGGAATGGAGGAATGGGGTACAATTATAGCTACTATTACTACCATTCTTCCTTCCCCTACTGACCAAAGGTAAGTTGTGTGTGTGTGTGTGTGTGTGTGTGTGTGTGTGTGTGTGTGTGTGTGGTTTTCCTTTTTTGTAGGCCCTTTTGAAGGGTTTAGCCCCTTTGAGTTTAGAATTCACCGTTTCGGGTTTGGGGTTTCTGGTATACGGTTTTCAGTTTCGTGTTTGGGGTTGAGTGTCTAGGGTTGAGGGTTTACATTTTCGGTTTTGGGGTAGTGAGATTAGGCTTCGGGGTTTAGGGCGTTCCGGTGTAGGGTTCGGGTCGTTGTGTTTGTTCAGGGCTCTTTGTCGACTGCAAAAAGTCAAAGCAAGCTGCAAGAAGTCTCCGTTAGGAGGGTTTGCGTTTAGGGCTGTGGGTTGGAGGTTTGAGGCCTTGCGATGTCGATGGATGAGGGTTTCGGGTTTAGGGGTGACTGTTCAGGCTTAGGGGTCTCTTAACAGGTGCATATGGCATATTCTTTCGGGTTTCGGATTGTCTTACCGGGGGCAGTCTTGTTTGACAGGCCTTCCAAAAGTGTCGCATCAGCTTCTTGGCTCATGGTATAAGGGCCTCTGTAGAGCTTAAAGCAAGTACCGAAAGCTTAAGGGCCCTATTCGGGTTCTATCGGCTTAACTTGGGCGCGACTCCGGTCGTAGATTAGGGTTTAGGCTCCATGCGCAGGGGCCGCAGCACCTACTTTGTTACTGTAAGGGTCCTTATACCCAAATAGTATATACTTTGGCCCTAAAGGGGTCCCTCTATAGGCACTTTGAGGC